TGGGCAGGGTAGATTTGCCAAGGTGAAACTAGCCAGGCAACTCCTAACAGGGCCCGGGTGTCCATGAATGTCATTCAGAAAGGACAGCAGAGCTCTGTCCCCCACAGAGTATTGGCAGGAGAGGACCCAGTGGAGGCTCGAGTCACCCAATGTCATCCAGCTGTTCCATGTTATGGAGACAGGTGAGGACAGCAACGTTGTGATGGAGCACGGGAGCAGAGGTGAGGAGGACGGCAGCATGCAGGAGAGGCGGCCTGGGGACCTGGGGTTACCTCTGCTGCCTGCTGCTGCCCCAGGTGGGCGTGGCTCACAGGAGGCTGAGAGTGGAGGTATCCTGCTGGATGCTGCAGGGAAGAGAGAACTCGGTGACTGTGGACTGTACAGCAGGTCTCAGCTGGACCAGAACTCAGGACATTGTGCAGGACTCCCTTACCACGTGCTCATATCTTTGTTGGGTTAAAGAGCACACTGATCCACTGAAGCTGTAGGGATCCTGGGAATCACCTTCAAAATCCCTCCATGGTATCCCATCTTGAATGCAGGCACCATGTTGCTGCTTTAAGAGTGAATGCTCTGTGGAAGGTGCAGGACTCTCTTCTACTTTCCATGGAAAATGAAAGGGTCATTGGAACTACTTCACTTCCACTTTGGACCACCTGTGGGCACCAGGGTTGAGCAGGTGAGAAAGAGTCATTGGGACCTAATCATGAGCCACTCCTCACTCCAGGGCAAAAAACTCACTAAAATCATCTTCCTTGTGGCTTTTGACCCTAATGATTCGCTCAGTGGAAAAGTGGATTAGGTAGTGAAGGCCATGTACCTGAGACTTCAGATGCAGAAACCACATGCTGGGCTCCAAAGTCACAGTTGAGCCCTGCTCTTAGCAGTTGGGCCTTGCCCATCCCCCGAAGTTCTATCCACCTTCTCTGAAGGAGATGACCTTTGTCTTGAGCTGCCCTTCCCAACTTTACCTACTAGTTCTCAGAATATCAACTGCCTGAGAAGCACCAGGAGTCCTTCCTGGGGACGCAGAGAAGCATGTCCCTCTCCATTATATCCACAAACCAAAGCTTGCCTATGCAAGTCTAGAGCCAGGAGTGTGAGGGTTTGACATATTTATCCCATGAGGGTTGAGTGCCAAAGTCACACACCCTGAATTCAGGAACAAAGTGGCTCCAGTGTAAGAAGTTGGGAGTGGAGACCAAGTCAGAAACCCAGGAGGTGAGGTGGCGAAGCTGCAGTTTCCGCAGTTTCCTGTCTTTAGTCTATGCTTTGATCATAGTCTTTAAACATTAACAAATCACAGTTGTGTACAATGTGATTTTCTTTATGTGCACATGCCACGGAATGACCTAGACTTGCATATAACATGCTCATTACCTGGGATAGATGCTTTAGGATCACTCCTTTCTGAAATCTAAGAAGTTGAATCTGAGATCCAGAGAGCAGAATGGCAGGTGCAGCTGGTCAGGGAGGGGAGAGGTGGGGGATGGAGATGGGTGAGGCGAAGGGGAGGAGAAGTTCAGCCAGGTAGAGGAGTCAGTCTGGAGATCCACTGACCAGCCTGGTGACTTAGTCAAGGACCGGGAACTGTACGTCAAAGATGTTAAAACGGGGGAATTTTAACTTTCTTCTTGCATTTAAAAGGGCGAACATGGGAACTCTGACCTTGGAGGACCTTGGCTGAATGGAGTGGGAGATTGGCCAGGTGTGGATTCCAACTGTTTAAAAGAGGAGATGAATGTCCACACTGCTGCCCGCTGGGCACACCTGCTCATAGTCCTCTGTCCAGTCATGGTGAGGCGCACAGTTCACGATCTAGCTAGGCAACCTTCCCTAGGAGCAGAGGCTACCTGCAGACCCAAGCTGCAAGGTGTCCGGGAAAGAAGAAACACACTTCACCCACACAGTCACTGGAACCTTGGTCTCTGCTGGAGGAAAGGTCCATGATCTGAGCAGTCTCCAGAGGACAGTCACACACTCCACTGATCTTGGGACGCTGCTCTCTGAGCCCTTGAAGTGTCTTCAATGTGCCCTTCAGTCTGAGGGTAGGTACAGTGATCAGCTCTGCCCCATGTTTGCCTGTCACCCTTTGGGTACCATGTGGCAGGTGAAGCTCTGAAGCTCACTGACCCAAGAGTGGTTTCAGTGATGCCTGGACCCTGGGACATGGGAGAGAAAACTTGAGTGTCACATTCTGCTCAGGAATGCCCAGTTGGCTAAGCCCCAGTGACCCACAGGCGTGTACTCTCCAAGGTGAGCCCTCTGGATAAGAGCCAGTATTAGCAATCTCCTCTTCTCACCTCTCCATACCTTGGCCTTCACCTTTCAAATCAACTCCTAGCACCAGAATCCTTACTTCCCTGTCTGTCTGGAGCAGTCAACCAGCAGCATCCAGATCCTCAGAATGTACAATGTAAAGGTGTCACCCTGGCTTTGGAAGACCTACTGGGTAGAGCAGTGATTGACAGGAGTGAGGGCAGGTACTAAGATCTCATGCCCATTCCTGCCAGTTGGGAAAATCATTCCATTTGTGGTTCTCCTGTGTGTCTGGAGACAACCACAGGCCTCCAGAATGTTCTTGCCTTCCAGCTGCCATTGTTTACTCTCAGTGACACCAACACCATGATCAAGTTCACATGCACACACAGGCACACATCCACACACCTACACACACATGCAACTGTGCCTCCACACGTGCACATGTACGCTCTCAGGGGCACACATGCATATTGTCCTGTGTGTGCACACAGACTACAGGAACACAGAAGCACAGAAGCCCAATCAACCCCAGAGTTCTGATGAACAGAGAGAGAGATGGGTGGGGGCTGGATCCCAATTGCTCCTTTAACATTTTGCCTCAGGGACAAGACTTCCTGCAATTAGGAGCCAGTGCTTAGATTCCACCAACCCAAGAGTCCCATCAACAAGCCTGCCATGAAGGAACCTTAGAGAGAGACTTTAGCTCCAAGCTAAGCAGTGTCCTGGGGCAAAGACCTTTATAGCAGCAGAACAACAGGGAAGACTCATGTGGTATTGTCTTGTTCAGGGAGGGGATGAAACTTAGGGCCTCCCACACAGCCACCTACCACTGCTTAAAGCAGAGTTAATGAAAGAGGAACTGAGTTCTTCAGGTAGGTTTCACTAGGGATGGACTGCTTTAGCTCACCTCTTGGACTCTCAACCAAAACCTAAGGTACCTTTAGTCGAGTTGTTTTTCCTGTACCCTGATTCTTGCCATCTGCTGTACAGGTGACATCTATCTGCTCCTGAGATCTTGTAGAGGGTGCCCAGAGCCTGTGCCTGGACTATCACCACCTTTGCTTTCTCAAAGGTCTCCTCTGGGAGCACACTAGTCCCATGTGCTCCCTTCTTAATTAGCTGCTTAGTGGACAGAGGCATTGAGCAAGCTGTATAATGAACAGCACCAGCAACCCAGGATTCCTAGAGAAGCCTGTCCATGCTTCTCTGTATGGGACATGGGGAAGGTAGCATTTTCTGTCACTTCAACCTGGATACATCAAGTGTTACCCACCAGACAACTGTGGGATCTGCAGGATGGTCCACTGGCTTGAAACTCATTGGGGTGACAGCACATTAACTAATGCACAGATAGGAGAACGGGTATCTCATTGACTCCTGTAACAAAGTTTGATCTTACCCTCTTAGCATGATAGAAGAATAAATGAACCAGGTAAAATCCATGGAGAATGAAACCTGAGTGACATGAGGAGCTACTATGCGGTGATACATTTTAGGACTGTGTGGATTTCTCAGGCAATACTTGGAGAATCCCCTGTCTGCCCTCCCAAAGGAACACAAACTGGTCTAGCTAGTCCAGTTATAAAAGATTTGTGACAAGACGTTAGCTATATTCATAACGGCATGCTCAGAAACAAGAGGGGTTGTGGTTCATGCTTAGATCCAGGTGATGTGAGGAACTATAGCAAAACTCCCAGGTATCAGCATATGCCATGCCCTGTGGTCCACATTCATTCTCGGAGTGCTAGCTGGCCTGTCGACCAGCCTGAGTGGACTATGGAAGCTAGGGTAGGTAGGATGTAAATCCCAACCTGCTGCAACTCTTTTCAAAGCCTCCGAACTTGGCATGTCCACCTGGCAGCTTGAGGTGCCTAGTGTTTACTGTCTGGGCACAGGAGCGCTTACAGCTTCCTATACTCTTCCTCCATAGATTCTACTTTTACATCTCAACAAGTACAGCGTTCTTGATATAACTAAAGTTTATACCAAAGAGTCAGGCGCATTCCGGCAGCTGGGCTGCTGTGGCAAGGCTCCCTCCAGAGTGCCCCACTGCTCTGAAACATTTATAGGTTTTGGTTCACAACATGGCTGCAGTCATGACAAGGGGAATCCACGTAGTTGTGCATTAGTGCTGCTAATTAGCACAGTTAGGATTGTAAGTGTTGCTGCTTAGGATGTGCAGTCAGAGTAGTAAGGAAATCAGCTTTCGTCATTCCCTTGCAGATAACTACTCAAAAGAGATGACCTTCATGAATCAATATGAGGTCCACATGGACCCTTGGGCAGGGTAGATTTGCCAGGGTGAAACTAGCCAGGCAATCCTAACAGGGCCCAGGTGTCCATGAATGTCATTCAGAAAGGACAGCAGAGCTCCGTCCCCCACAGTATTGGCAGGAGAGGACCCAGTGGAGGCTCGGGTCACCCAACCTCATCCAGCTGTTCCATGTTATGGAGACAGGTGAGGACAGCTACGTTGTGATGGAGCACGGGAGCGGAGGTGAGGAGGACGGCAGCATGCAGGAGAGGAGGCTTAGGGACCTGGGTCACCTCTGCTGCCTGCTGCAGCCCCAGGTGGGCGTGGCTCACAGGAGGCTGAGAGTGGAGGTGTCCTGCTGGATGCTGCAGGGAAGAGAGAACTCGGTGACTGTGGACTGCACAGCAGGTCTCGGCTGGACCAGAACTCAGGACATTGTTTGGGAAAACCAAGACCCCAGGAATCTGATAAGATCCTCTTCAAAATTATCCTCACGGGATCCTCTGTGGAAGGCAGACAATCTGGTGCTGCTTTAGGAGCTGATCCCCTGTGGAAGGTGCAGAACTCTCTTCTACCTTTCAAAGGAAAAGGAAAGAGCTGTTGGAACCTCCTCACACCCACATGGGACCACCTGTGGGCACCAAGGCTGAGCAGGAGAGGAAGCCATTTAGAACTAATCATGAGCCACTCCTCATCCCAGGGCCACAAACTCACTATGCTCATATTCCTCATGGGTTTTGACCCTGATGACATCCGGGAGTCCTTGTTCAATGGAAAGGTGACTGAGGAGCTGATGGCCATGGATCTGAGGATGCAGATACAAGAACTACATGCTGGGCTCCAAAGTCACAGTTGAGCCCTGCTGTTGACAGTTGGGCCTTGCCCATCCCCCGAAGTTCCACCCACTTTCTCTCAATCTCCCAAGACACGAGTTGTGTCACGAGCTGCCCTTCCATCTTTATGGACTAGACCTCTGTACATCACCTGCCCGAGAAGCACCAGGAGTCAGGGCTCAGGGCTGGAACTGGGCCAATGTGCCTGACATGTTCCCCCCACCACAACACAGCCCCTGGGGGCCCTGGATCATGCTCTCCCCCAACCCTAGACGCTAGCAGTAATAGAGGGCAGACAGAGAAGCCCATTTGGATTGTGGTTTACACCATAAAACAAGTCTCCAATATCCAGGATAACAATGAGGAGCTAGGGATAGGCATACTCATTCTATAAACATTAAGTGCTAAAGCCACACAAAGAATACCCATGAAAGAGGTGGATAGCACAGAAAAAGATAGAAACCCAGAAGGTGCAGCCATCCAGCTGCAATTCCTACAGTTTATTTTTGTCTCTGCTTTTATAGTGGTCTTATTTAATTTCATAATCACAATCGTATACATTTGCGTGCTACAGTTTGATTAGATATACGAACACACCACAGAGTGGTCCAGTCCTGTGAATTAACACATCCATCATTCTAAAAGACAGAGGAGCCAGGATTCCCCCCTTTTGGAGTCTGAAAAAGTTGAACCCTAGACAGAGACCACAGAATGACGCATGTAGGTGATTAGGGATTGAATGAGCAGAAAATAAAGATTTGATTTAAAACATGAGGAAAACATCTGATGGGGAGTAAGAATGAGTTAGAGATCTGTTGCACAGTGCCTACAGTCAAGGCGAAGGTACAGTGTGCTTCAAAGAAAAAATCAGAGTTGATTTCAAGTGTGTCTGCATGGAATGTAAACAGCGAGGGAACCCTGTGCTTTGATGATCCTGACTTCATGTACAGGGGAGAGTTTCATTAGGTAGGTTTACCTTGGAATAAGGTGAGAGACCTACTTCACAGCAGGATGAACATATTCAAGAATGTTCTGCGTATATCGAAGTAGCCAAGATGTCAGTTTCCCATGTCTCCCTGCATTTTAACTGGAGACCCACAGATGCCCATGCTCAGTGGACAATGGAGAGGGGCTTTACCAGGAGTGGACCCACACAGCTGCAGGGCAGCCAGAAGGAAGTGCACCCTGCTATGTGCCAGGCACGGCTGGCCCAGAGCCCTCTGTCCAGGGCATGGTGAGGTGCAAAGTGCTGGCCTCTCTGTGCAAGGGATGCCCGTCCAGAGGGCACTTGGTGACTGTGTGGCTGTCCAAAGCATCCTGTTCAGTCAGAGGTGAGCTGAGGGCATGGCTTCCAGCTGCCTGGAGATGAGACAGCACCTGTGTCCACACCTTTGGAGACATCAGACTGGAAGGTTTTCCAGGGACATGTCTCCTTTCCTGCTCTTCCTTGTTCTCTGCTCCATGTTTCTGGGTGGGGAGATGCTTCCTACCAAACTTCTCCTTCTTTCCAATCTCACAATCATACTGAGGCTCCTGAAAGTTGGACCACAGATGGCTCCCTGTTGAGCAGTTCACCAGAGCTCGGTGTGCTTCTACTCGACCAGGGGTCAGTTAAACAACTGTTGGAGTTAAATCAAACTCCTAGATGGAAAGGGGAGGTGAGAGAAATATCAAGGTGAGTGCAGCAGCCACAGCCAGGCCCTGTGCCTCTGATGGCACCTGGCTCTGAGCTGGATGCAGGAACAGGCAGCTGCTGTGTCACCTCTGTGAAATTGGTGGTGCTACTTCAGAAGGACAATGAACAGGTGGTTTGTCCTTCTGCATGGTGCTGAGACAGCCCTAGAGCAGGAGGAAGTCCTCTGCCCCAGCCTGTGGGGGAGTCAGAGAGGTGGTGTGGGTGGTCCCCAGGGCAGCTCAGGTGTCACTGCACTGTGCTGCTCAGGTCCCTGACTGCACCATGCAGGAGTCTGGCCTTTCCACTGTGATCATTTCCCCTCCTTTAGCAGTGGCCCAGTGGTTACTCTGAGACCCTCCCTCATATAAGGGCCCTCCATTCAGCCTGACTTTCCAAGGAGTGGTTGGCATTCATCCAGGGGTCTTTAGTGTCCCAGGGAGGATTACATCAGTAGAGAGCATCCCTGTAGGATGGAAGAGGGTGGTGGGAAATGGGGTCTCTCTCATGGGAGTTTCCAAGTTCCCAGGCTCTCCATGTTTCCACTTCAGTCTGTGAATTTGACTTTCAGAAACCCACCTGGGAGCCTCCTCTTGGGATACTGTGGGGCACAGCTATGTCCTAGGAGGTCCCCAGGCCTCATGCATGGTCAGCCACCTCAGGTGCACAGTCTTCATCATGCAGTGTCCCTGCCCAGCAGTCACTGCGACCATGGACAGCACTCAGGTATAAACAGGGCTTTATTCCAGGAGATGATGGCCAGAGAAGCCAGAAGCAGGCTAGGCACAGGAAGGGGTTCATGGATCACTCTCTTGATCAGGGTGGGAGGGTCCTTGATCCCCAGGGTCCTTCTGTTCAACAGCCCAGTGCGTGGGTCACAGCCTTGCTGCTGTTGAGCTCCACGTGGTTCCTGAGCCATCCCGCATCCCCTTCGGGTGTCTCTAGGCTGTTCTGGTGACTTTGGTGACTCCCTCTGTTTGAGTCCTTCCCAGTTGACTGATTGCTCCCACTGACACTTTCTTTTCTCCATTCCCTCTGCCTACAAATGACTCCCCTCCAAATAGTCCATTCAGTTTTGAACTCAGCCATGGAGTCTCCTGTGGAGGACATCAGAGCCCTAAAGACCCAAGCACTTCCCAGAAGCCCCACTTCTGGACATGGCTGAGCTTGGAACAAAGACCTGAACACGTGCACCAGGGAGCATGTCAGATCCAAACTCTGAGAAGCATGGAGAATTGGAAGGAACAGAGCCTCAACTCCCTGTCACACTGAAGGTCACACTGTCATAGTGCTGGATTCAGGGAGGCTCAGCTCTCAGAGGGATGGAGTAGGAGGTGTGTGGATGGAGCAGGAATCCAGGGGCCAATTGCATCCCTAAGAAGCTAGAGAAGGGAGTTCATAGGCTCTGGGTGCAATGTGGGTATTTTACTCAGAGCAGGGAGTCCCAGAGCAGATGTACAATGGCTGACCTGGCTCTAGGGAGCTACCCCATGCCTCAGAGATAGTGGACAGGGTCAGTGATTTAATTCATTATATGTGAGCCAGAGTGGCATAGAATGATGTCAACTCTGTCATTTCCACTACAGCAAAAAGTGGATTGAAGCCATGTCCACACACGAGCATGAAGAGTGTAACACCCCAGGCGGTGGAGGTACAAATGACTTTTACTTGCTTTTCTTATGCTTTCTGTATCTCACCATGTAAACCTCAAGATGATATCAGAACCTGAAATGTTATCAGACAAGGTGCATCCTTGCCAACAACAGAATGCCCCCTTTCTCCGTTGACACTAAGGGGTTTACCTCTGGGCATTTGGACTGAGATTCTGTAACTACAGAACAAGCCTGGATTCCCATCATCAGGCACGGACCATCCTGCTGCTGCAGCAGGATTCCTGTGACCCTCTTTACACCACTTCACAGAGTAAAGTGCCTGTTCCCCTGCATCCAGCTCAGAGCCAGGTGCCTTTAGAAGCACGTGGCATGGCTGTGGCTGCTGCACTCACCTCCATATTCCTCTCACATCACTTTTCCATTTAGGAGTCTGAATTTACTCCAAGAATCACTTGACTACCACCTGATCAAGTAGAAGCACCCAGAGCCCTGATTCTGGTCTGGGAAATTTGTAAACAGGGAACAACCCATGGTCACCTTTCAGGAGCTTCAGGGTGACTGTGAGACTGGAAAGAAGCACCTCCCTGCCAAGAAACATGGAGCAGGGGACAGATAAGAGCAAGGAAGGGGACCTGTTCCAGTCTGAGGTCTCCACAGGTGTGGACACAGGTGCTGTCTCTTCTCCAGGCAGCTGGAAGCCATGCCCTCAGCCCACCTCTGACTGCATAGGATGTTACCAGGTGCCCTCTGAATGGGCATCTCTTGCACAGAGAGCTCAGCACTTTGCCCCTCACCATGCTCTGGACAGAGGGCTCTGGGCCAGCTGTGCCGGGCACACAGTGGAGCACACTTCCTCTGGCTCCCTTCCGTCTGCGTTAGCCACTCCTGGCAGCTCCCAAGCCACGGTCCACCACAGGAGCAGCAGGGTGACCACCATACCTACTGGCATTCTGTCCTTGTCTCCACTGTCCACCTCTTACATTGAAAATCTGAATTCAGGTTGTGTAACTTTGGCATTCAATAATCATGAAATAACTGTGGCTCTGCTTGCTCCTGGCTCTAGGCTTGGCTCTAGATTTGTTTTGTGGATACAACGAAGCAGTATTTGCTTCTCTGCCTTTACTACTCAGTGTCTAGGGTGGAGGGAAGCATGACACAGGGGTCCCCAGAGAGCTATGCTGCAGGGGGGGGTGCATTGAAAAGGTTAAGAATGTAAGAATTAAGTTCTGTTTTCCTGGAACCTAAAACTCATGTAGAAGTTGAAAACAACTCCCGGAAATGCCCACTAAATGTATGTTGAAATCTCCCCTGACCATCTGGTTGCTCTATGAAAACAACCCCTCCCAGAAACCATGCAATGGATTGGCTATGCTGTATGTGAAGTCCCTGCCCTCTCCAAGGAAAGTATATAAGCTCTGCTTAAGCTGTTCCCGGGGCTCTCTGCTCTATTCAAGTGAGCTCTGAGCCCCAGCATGCTGGACCCCCAATAAACCCTTTGCTGTTGCATGAGACAGTCTCTTGGTGGTTTCTTCCTCTGACGCTCACCCGACCTTTACATCTGGAGGTTCCACCGAGATCCGGCAGCAGCGGACGAAAGACCCCAATGGACTCCTCTCGGGGTAAGTAAGGCGCCTCTTTCTGGTTTCAGGTTTCAGGTTAGGGCTTGGCAAAGTGGCTGTCTGTGAAGAGCATGAGCTCTCTCCGACGGTGGCTGACAGATGTGTCACAGAGCCACAGGCCACGTCCCTGGGGGTCGCCCCAGAGGACT